GGGTCGTTCATGTTTGGGCATTGTCCTTGTCATGTGTTTGCTTCTGCTTTGCATGTCATAAATTGCTGCATAAACAAAGGCGCAGCACCGCAACAGCCCACAAGCCCAACCGCAAGCCACACGAAGCCCAGTATAAAAATATATGACTTCTACGCAGTCTAAATGATATTTTTCATATGAGCTTGGGACATGTGTCATAAATTCAGATGCTCGGCTTTATAATGATGATGTTTTGGCTCTGCCATTTGACGAAAGGGAAATAGTTTTTCCTTTTACTTGTAGTTTTTGTTGTTTTGTTTTTTTGCTTGTTTCTCAGCTTATTTGCCAACTGTCTGGAACTGGAGCTGTCGGAGTTTTCATTTTGTTTGCCAACTAAACAAAGAGGGTTCTGTAGTTGTAGCGTCTGTCGCTTATGCATCATATTTTTGGCTGGTATTTTGTCCAAATAGACACCCAGTTGTCAGCCACTGCACGCATTGTTTGAAGGCCTGCTTTTATTTTTTGTCTAGCTGCCAACTGCCAACTATAATATATGGGGTATTATAAAACAATTCAAGTGGTTTGTTACAAGCAGAGAAGCCTAGTTTGATCATAAGAGTTTGTTTTCGAGACCCTAAAAGAGTATCTAGCAGTCAAGCAGACTTGTCCTAAGTGTCCCTATTTAATGCTGTGCCCCCTTTCTCTGACGCGACATGTTGGCAATGTGACTCGAAAAATATGAGCGTTGGCTGAAAATAATTGAAATTATTTTTGCGTGATATATTATATATAATGGAACTCAAATATGGCGCTGCACTTTGTGCAGCACTGTGGCGGCAGTGTTGCAAAGCGTGCGCACACATAGGCAGGGTTGCCAATTCGGCTGGTATGTGTGTGTGTGTGAGTGTGTGCTTGCCACCTGTTATCCAGAAAAATGGTATGAAATAAGGGATAAGAGCTGAGCGAGTCGCATAAGTAAAAACACGCAAATTGTTAACCACACACACGAAACATTTTTCATGCTTGGTTTATTTATTTGTTTTGGTTTTTATTTTCCTTTTGCATTTGGCTCACACTTCTTTTTATGTTTTGCTGATGGTGTGCGTTGATATTTGGTGATGAATTTACGACAGGCATGCATTCAAATGTGCGACTGTACACATAGAGGTATTACCTTTTTCTAATCTAAATTTATGTGCAGCTGACCAAAAGTCACACCACATTTTATTTTATTTCTTTTTTTTTAATATTTCTACTCTATGCTGTGTATTAAAAGTTTGTTATATAGTTTGCTAAAGGCTATTTAATAAGACGATTAAAGTTGCATATGGAGAGATCTATCCAAACTTGAATACTAAAAAAAAACTCATTAGGCTCTTTGGAAATATCTGAACCCTGTCTTACACTTGATGTACTCATAATATACTCACACATCAAATGTCAGCAAGTGTATTAAATATTCGGCATAGTTCTTGTATACTTTTTTCTTGCCACTCTCACACCTCTGGGGACTTACCCGGGATGCCGTTTTGTGCCCTCTCAGACTGCTTTTATTTCATTTTTTTTGTGGCACTTGTAGCACGCAAAGTTGTGTTAAGCACACGCTGGAGAATTGCGGACAATGAACGAAATGAGTTTTGCAAATTAATTAGTGAAATACTCTTGGAAAGTTTTATCATTTTTGACCATGTGACTAATTAGCTAAGGATCCAGTCGATTGCCGGCGCAATTGCCCAAAAAAACCCCAAGTCAAGTGAAATTTAAGATCCTCGTGCGAAAGTTGAGCATCAAATCCAACTGGGAGAAATTACATTAAAATCCGAAATAATGAAATTGCCAGCGCAATAAAATGATTTTATGATTATGGCACCGTTGTGTGAGCGTGTGGCCAGGACCTACTACACACACGGGCCCTCCCTTTTCCCCGCCAGCGGTCGCTTCTCTCCTTTCTTCTGACAAACTTGCCGATAAATGTCGCCAGGACAAGGAAAATGCGTGTGGCATACTTTGCGGTGGGCTCTTTGGTGGTGGGTGGCGGTTGGGGTGTGGAGGGCTGTCGGCAATGACATTCCCTCGCATGGTACGCGCTGTAAATTAATAATATCAACTTTGGCAGCAAATGTCAGAAAAGGGCAAGCAAATAGCCTGGCAAGCTTCCACTTTTCCCCTCCTATTCTGACATGTCTGCCTCACTCACATTGTGCGTGCGTGTGTGTGTGTCAACTTTTGATATCCTACACACTTCAACGTACGGCTGTCTGCGTGTGTGGGTGTGTTTGTCTGTGTGTGTGGGTGTGTGGGTGTGTGCGTGACTTGGTGACTGTTTTTGGTGTTTACAGGCTGCCGAATCAAACTTCAATGTATGTGACATCTGACTTTCGGGTGAGGCAAATGAAAGCCGCCTTTATGTATGCCACGTAAATGGCTCTAAGTGCGTTCAACATTCAAATTAAAGGCAAATCCTACAATAATAACAACAAAAAAATCTACAAACAGCAACAGCAACAATATTTTCAATATGTTGTGAAATCTTTGTCTGTTGATAGGCAAAGCTCTTGCAAAGCCTTTAAGCATGATATGGGTAGACGTCTTCAAGCCTGATCTATCTATGTATGCTTAGTTTCCTTGCCGCTGATCGAATATATATTAAGTCTTAAGAACCATGTTCAGATTCTCGAAGCGTATCTATAAGTCGAATACTCTCTGCTGGAAAATATTTATTTGTTACTTGCTTTCTTAAATTTCATAAGACAATTTCGTGATAATTGCATATTTTATGAATGTTGAAATTCAATTGCTTAGTTTACAATTTGTTTATTTTGATTTCATTTTTCATTTACACGCAATTTTCTTTTCTTTTCCTTTCAAATCTTTTCTATTGCCAGTTGATGGCAAACAAATGTTAACATGAAGCATTTCAATTTACACGAAAGCGTTCCCAAATGTCGAGGGTCGCTTAAACATGAGGCAATTGTTAAGTGTTTTCATTTGCTTTGTGCCAAATGATTTTCTCATTGCAGGCAACTAGGGGCGAGATTCTTGATGGGGGTTGCGTGTGCCAATAATTGAAGGTACGAGCAAATTGGAAATTGTAATTAATTGAAAATCGTTTGGGGGTTGCAAGCTTACGAGTAGAATATGTAATTAACTGCGCTTCTTCAAATTTATAGGAAATGCTTTGTTACATTTTTTCATGAAGTCATAATTAAGTGCAATGAGCACTAAAAAAATACTGCATAATTTTTCTCACTTTGCAATAAAAATCAATTTTAATAAACGGTTAGAAAATAGTATAATCAACTTTTCTTTAAGCAAAACCATAATTTTGCTGCAAATATAAAAACATGGCTTATCCAACACTTTTAGATATTTGAATCTTTAAAATAATTCTTTAAGCCGCCGACTGGGAAGAGTATTTCAATTTATTTTTCACTGCTGCTGGACAGTGTATGGAGACGCCAATAAACATTTCGAAAAAAAATATTCATATATAAAACAGTTCTCTCCCAGAGCCCAGAACAAGACAAGCGCAGCAATCAGCCGTTTTTATCAGAAAACCAAAAGCAAGAGCTGACTGAAAAGCAGAAGACGAAAAAAATAAACAAAATGAAAATGATTATAAAAAAGTGCGAGCTGAAAAAAACTCAATAACATGCAACAAAATGTAAAGTCGGGCAACGAGTAGATTGACTGGAAGCGCTAGTTGGTCTCCCAAAAAGCGACTCCAGTGCAGCCAATACTCTCCTCTCAGCTGCCCCGCAAGCTCTTCGCCACGCGGTAGAAGAGGAAAATCCAAAAAAAAAAAAACCAAAAAAATGGTTGTTGTGTGTAAAGTGTTGCACATCAGGCCACAATGGCGCTAAGCCAATAAATTAAATCAAACAAGCGCGATAACCATTTCACTTTTGCCATGTCTATCCACACACACATACACACACACACACACACACACACAGCTACAACATTGTTGGCCACACAACAACAATAAAGTTAAAATGGCGTAAACAGTATAAAAAACTGAAATGCATGAGCTTTTCACAGTAGCTGCCGCAGCGACAAAACAAAAAAGAATCTAGAGAAAAACCTTCCCGAAAAAAAAAATGGCGCTTTAAATGCATTTTAATAAAAAGTTTGTGCGAAAGAGAGCGCTGCGAAGCGTTGGAGTGAGAGGGGCAGAGAGTCCGCAAGTTTGAAAAAATGTGGTTGAAAATTTTTTAAAAGCTTTTCCGACACTTTGTTGCGTATATATTATAAAATATGCTGTTCCTGCTGCTGTTGTTGTCCTTGTTGTTGTTGTTGTTATGACTCCTCCATCAATATATGCACGCATGCATATACATATATCTGCTGGTATATGTGAAAATACGGTTAATTTTTGTCAACACAGAACAAGCGCTGCGTAACGACGCCATTTTGTTTTGTTCTCGGACCACAAGAGACGTTGGCAAATTGTTTAAGCTGTTGCCTCGATCAGTAGAAAAAGCCGGCCGCCATTTTGGCTGATTGTTGACAAGTCAATTAAAAGACTTGAATTTATGACGCATGCCACGCATTTTGTGCTCGCCAAATAGCAGGTATTAACCTAGATTTGGAGTATCGATTAGCTATGAGCATGATTATCTGAAGATTCGCCATTTTTTACGACAATTTTTAGTGATATTTTTGTTAAAATTCAACAAGAAAAAGTTCAAAAGCCTCCCAGTTCTATTAAATTTGTATTTATTATTATGAGAATTGCACATTTTTTATAATGGGACTTATATAACTCAAAAATTTAGTTGGAATCGATATTTATCGATCAAGCGATGGAACTATTGAAAATCTGTTGAAAAAGCAGATGTTATTGGCTGTTGAAATATTTTTCTATAGTCGAAAATATGTTTTGCCCATTAAATATTGATGGTTAAATAGAAAACCTCTGCTGATATAATAATTTTGAGCGATTTTCCCGTACCTAGCTTGCGTAGACTGACATTTTATTTATATTTAAATTTTAAAATTTTTGTTCACACATTATTATAAGTTTGAATACTACCGAAACACAATACGAATATTCTCAGTTATAGTTCTGATTCTTTCGATTATATAATGAAGTTATATATAAATTTTCTGTTGCCAGCGTTTCTATTTGGCTTAATTGCATTGGTAAGCGTAAAGCGAGTCGATCACTTGGCCCATATCTTATTGTTATTATATTTCAGAGCCAATTGCCATATGGCAATGCTAGAGCTTTGGTTAGCCCCCCAGGGGTGATGGCCAGCGCTAATGCCACGGGAAGCCTGAAAACCAATGTCACCAATCAAAACGCAACCATTGTTTTGGCCAGGGATACTGATCGGAGCAATGACACCGCCGTAACAACACTGCCAGCACAGACCAAGTCCCTCGAGATGTCCCAGTCCACGGGCAGCACTGTGGTTACGAATATTGTGCGCAGAAAGCGTGCAGAGACCGAGCCGACATTGCCCTTCGATTTTCATACAATGCATCTACCATGCGATTTAGATCAAAACGGCAGAGCTCAGGTGGTCGATGCCTTTCCCAATCATTGCATCTGGGTTTGGAACAATAAATTTGTGCATGAGGGCTTCTATCGGGTTTTCAAGACATATCAGCTGGAGGGGTTCTTCTTTGGACAGTATTATGAGCGCTTGAAGCGCTTCGAGATCGATCCCCACAGTTGGGACTACAGCAACACAGGATTCTAGATGACCCCTAGATAGCAACAATTAAATTAACTGTAAATTATGTGGAAATGTATAAAAATTCAAAACGAAAACAACAAAAATAAAGGAAACGGTGTAAAAAACAAAACAACAAAAGTGGAATAAGCCTGGTTTTTTCAATAGCCTTCAAGTTCTATGATTCCGCAGACTTGTCTATTGAATCTAGTAATTTTTTTGTTTTCCCAAGAAATGGCCAGCTATCTTGGATATAAGATGACGGGTAGGGTGAACATAGAGACCACGCTTTTTAAAGTGGACAAAGTTATAGTAATAGTATATGGGATTGTTCTGGTTCTTAATACTGCAGCAGGGTAAGATGTTGAGTTATTCTCAACCAGGTGGTGAGACGAGCTGTAGAGAGGGGTCTGGCCAGTCTGCTCTCATGTTACTTAAGCTTTATCGGCAAATGTGGCGGTTCACATGGAGCTCTACAGTTTCCAGATTCAGGTTAACCGTACGGTTTTTTTCAAAAGCTTCTGGACCCATTCGACATAGCATCCATTCCTCAAATGGATACCGAATCTCCAGTCACCGAGAACTATTACTTTTGCTAAAAGGGACATCTTTTGCCCTCTGAGTATTGAAGGTTAACAATTTTGAACGATTTTCCATTACCCAGCTTGCGTAGACATACATTTCACTTGAATTTAAATTTTAAAATTTTAGAACCCACAACATTGTCATTAGGTGGAATACTTCCCACACACAAAACGAATTTTATCAGATACAATTTTAAAAACAGAACCTTTCAATTACATGATGTTGCCCATAAATATGCTGTTGCCAGCGCTTCTAATTGGTCTAATTGCATTGGTAAGCGTAAAGCGAGTCGATCACTTGGCCCTTATCTTAGGGTTATTATATTTCAGAGCCAATTGCCATATGGCAATGCGAGAGCTTTGGTTAGCCCCCCAGGGGTGATGGCCAGCGCTAATGCCACGGGAAGCCTGAAAACCAATGTTACCAATCAAAACGCAACCATTGTTGTGGCCAGGGATACTGATCGGAGCAATGACACCGCCGTAACAACACTGCCAGCACAGACCAAGTCCCTCGAGAGGTCCCAGTCCACGGGCAGCACTGTGGTTACGAATATTGTGCGCAGAAAGCGTGCTGAGACCGAGCCGACATTGCCCTTCGATTTTCATACAATGCATCTGCCATGCGATTTAGATCAAAACGGCAGAGCTCAGGTAATCGATGCCTTTCCCAATCATTGCATCTGGGTTTGGAACAATAAATTTGTGCATGAGGGCTTCTTTCGGGTTTTCAAGACATATCAGCTGGAGGCGTTCTTCTTTGGACAGTATTATGAGCGCTTGAAGCGCTTTGAGGTCGATCCTCACAGTTGGGACTACAGCAACACAGGATTCTAGATAGCCCCTAGAAAGCAAGAATCCAATTAGCCGACAAAAGTAAAAGGTTCAATAATAGTAATGTTTTAGAATAAATGCGCAAAGATTTTCGTTGCATTTATGCGAGAGATGGTAATGCGAGAGATGACAATGCGGGAGATAAAAATTTTAATCGGAAACTAAAAACTTAGTTTGAAGTAGGCGAAGCAAAGATGACGAATACAGCACACTGGCAAATATATTTATAACCCCCGAGTGGAGCACACTTTTCATTACTCTTAGATTTTTGTTTTTATTTTACAAAATTCTATCGTGCTAATTAAAATGGATCTGAGTGACTATGAGCTGGAGGAATTTAAGCGAGCCTTTCAAATACTGGACCGAGACGGAGAGGGTAGCATTCAGGCGAAAGATTTGGGCGTGTTCATGCGAGATTTGGGATTGTCGCCCACAGAAAGCGAGTTGGAGTCAATGATCAACCAGCTGGACTCAGATGGTAACGGGAGCATCGATTTTGAAGAGTTTGTCACTGCCATGACGGCAAAACTGAAAGCAGCACCAGATTTGGATGTTCTGCGCGAGGCGTTTAGTGTCTACGACAAAGAGAATACCGGCTATATAGGAGTGGATCAGCTGCGTACCGTAATGATAGCGTTAAAGCTGAAGCCCACAGATGAGGAGCTTGACGAACTGATACGCGTAGGCGACATAGATGGCGACGGCTACCTCAACTACGAAGAGTTCGTTCAGTTGATGAGCCCCCATTAGAAAACAAGAACCGCCCAAAGAAACAAACAGAAACAGAAACTACTTCATTCCAGTAATGCGTATATCTCCAGAATCATCAGCAGAAGCCAGAACAGTTATTATTAGAGTAGAAGAAGCGTTTAGATAAGTTAAGGGGTATACATTAAATTTGTTTTATGAAAACTCAGTGAGTAACAGAACTGTATACAAAATTGTAAGAGCATAATTTGGTTTAAAAGATTTACCCAACGACTCGTTTAATGAAAGCTTGCTTAACAGACTTGGATATATAAATATAGATATAAAATAAAAAATAAAAATTTAGTTAATTTAAAATTTATAAAAATCGCTTTTCGCGTTTGGCTTGAGCTCTTTGCTACTTTGCATATTTAAATGCTGCAATTGTTGCTTGAGAGCATTGACATTATTGGAGTTATTTGATTTTAGGGAAACAGCTTTTAGTTCACGTCACAGCCATGCGACTGAATTCTTTATGAATATTTTCAAAGCTTATTTATTTACAAGCTGAGAGAGCAGAGAGAGAGAGAGAGAGAGCTGTAGCAGATTCCCAAAAAGGCAGCTATCATGACTTGAACAGGCTCTACAATAAAATTACAATGATGCGCTTTTGAGAGCTGTGACCAAAGCATTAGTCATAAGCAGGCCTGCAGTTAGGCTAAGTGCATAATAAACGCATTATTCAAAAGATGGTCAAGCAAATGCATTTTCATTATACTATATATTTATGTTGATGTGCTGCACATTGAACAGTTTGGCGCCAAAAGTGGGGCGCATAAAAACCAAGCCACTTGCCAAAACAAAAAAATGCGCTGAGGTCACGCTAAAAGCGCTCAAAATTTGTGGCCAAAAGTGGAAGGAGAGCAAAAAAGACAATACATATATATATAAACAAAAGTTAGCTACCTCCCTTTGGACGTTATAAAATACGAAACTACTTAGCGGCGTTGATGAATTGTGACATTTTTATGGGTTTGTCTTTGCGCACAGGCAAAAAAAAAAAAAAGAGGAGGAGAGATACGAAAACAGGCGGCGGAAGCCAAAGGCAAATGGCAAATGCTTTTGGCTTAGCCACTCGCAGCTCGGCCATAAACAATATGGTCAGCCAGTTGGAGATCCTGGCCAGCAATACATCTCCTATTCTCGCCTGGTCTCGTCTCCAAAAATATTGTGCAAATTATGAAAGTGCCAGCTCGCAGCGGACGCCATTTCTGAAAAAAAAGTAAAAATTTGCTAAAAAACAAACAAAATGCTAGAAAAAAAAGAAAAAAATACTTTTAATGCGCGATTCACGTGTCGCTGTCGCGTTCGACGCTTTCCTAAGCCATAAACATAACTCAGGCATATTTATAGTTATGCCCGTCCAAGATTTATTTGGCCCGTCCACCGTTTAATTAAAACAATCGCTAAAGTTTTTCATTAGGTATTTGTAAATCGCAAAGTTTAAGCATGGAAATCTTTTTGCTTGGCACTCTATAACATTTAATTGCCATTTCTCTAACCATTGCAGAGTTTCTTTTGCAGTCGCCTGTTGCCGTTTTCCCAGCCAATTGCCAATTGCCGTTTTAATGAGCCCCTTTTAAACGGGAACGGCTTTGATAAGAAATAACTCACGGTGAAAGCGAGTGTGCGCCCTCAACTCAACTCGGCTCAGCTGTGGCTTTAAATGCTTCCATTTGACACTTTTTGTCATTGCAGCTGGCATAATGGAACTCTTAATGGCAGGGCTAACAAAATATTTCAATTGACGCGTCTGTAAACGGCTTTTCGCATTTCCGACCCTAAAAAAGACTGCAGGTAGCATCGTTTAATTGTGAGAAATTTCCCACCTGCGATTTCATATCCGCTTCGTCTCCTTTCTCTTCTCTGCTTTTTGCTCACAGTTTTAGGCACTGCATCATTTTTAGACCTTATCAAAATGATAACAAAAACTCTCTATTCATGTTGAAAAGTTTATTCTCATACTTATTGTTCCGTAATGACCAATAAAATATATGTTCGACAATCTTTTGAGTTTTTTTTTACCAACATTTGCGTCCCATTGCGATTGCTTTTGCTGTAGTTCAGTATCAATGGTAATTTAACAGCGTTCTCGTGCGTATACGTAATGTTGTATACTTAATATGCAGACATTTTGATGTGCAGCACCCCGCCGAGCACGACCATATTCTCAGCTTTGCGAAATGCTAGCGAGAAGCAAGGCTGATGGAGGAGAGTGCCGTTCGTGGGGGGGTAAAAGTTTTTGTGACTTGCTGACTGTTCATTAGAGGCCGAAGAGAACGTGCAAAGATAAACAGCAAACCATTAAACGATATCTCATCAAGAAAATCGCCTTAAATATGTTTCTGCCTAATTTCCCACAATTGTGTGTATAGGTGTGTGTGCGTGTGTGTGTGTGTTGTGTGGGGGGAACGGTCGTCCAGTCAGTCATCCATCCAACCATGCGGCATATGCATACAAAAGCAATTTAGCCAGGCGACCCATTTTACCCCACCTCAGCAACAAAGCTCCCGTAGTTCATGAGCAAAAAGTCGCTAGAAAAAGACAAAAAATACAACGATAACAAAAACAAAAAAGAAAAGAAATAAGAAAAATCTAATAATTTTTTATGTATTTTTCTCTCTGTTCTTGACTCTCTTACAGTTGAATGACCACAAGGCCAAAACGTGGGGCAGCCATGAAACCAGAAGAATGCTGAAAAGGTAGAGAAAAGGCAAAAAAACCGAAAAGAGAAATGTCGCAAAAGAAATAAGAAATTAAATGAAGCAACAAACATGTCAGTGTGTGCGTCCGTGTGTTTGTGTGACGCACAACACAACACAAAACGGGAAATTATGTGGCACAATCCATGAAATAGATGCAAACACAGAAAAGGATCAGAAGAACGGGGCCAAATGAGATTAACCAACCAATGCTATGCGGCCAATATAAATCACAAATCAACAAATAAAGCCATCTAAAAAATACCAAACAATACCAAAAATCAAATAAATACCTAAAAATAAATACCCAAAGTAGATACCAAATGAAACGAGTAAAGCGCGCCTGATTAGATATATGTATCTGTATGTATCTGTAGATACTTCCAGTTTATCTGCGGGTCGCTTTTCCTTATGCCTTGCGCAATTTGATGCCACTTCATTTGGCTTCTTCAGCAACTACTTCGCAGCAGATATTTTAATTTTGCACGCGCCAGCTGTTTAAGCTGATTAATGGCAGCCAGCAGAGAAAGCGGCTGTCAATCAAGGACGTTCACGCAGTCTGGCAAATGGGCAAAAGGAGTGAGGGGTCGAATGAATAGACAGCTAGTTAGTTAGCTGGCAGCTAACTTGACGGCTATTTAAAGCAAATGGCTTTAAGATGAGTAACAAATTTAGCAAAGCAGATAAAATTATAAAAAATATTCCAAGCGAAACAATTTGACAGACAGGTGTTACGAGCAATAGAAGATACTTGTATATTTTGTGAGTGTGGGAGAAATTTATGAAGTATGTTTTATTCATAACTTAAAGAAATATAGTATTAAAAAAAAGAGTTTAAGATTCGTTTCTGAATCTATTTAATTCATGTAGAAACATTTACTCGTTTGGTAATATTATTTTTATTAATTCGACACACAATGAAATATCCTTCTAGTAAATCCTTTGTTAAATTTGTTTCAGTATTATTTAGAATTATTTATTACACATTTAATTTTATAAAATTCTCTTATATTCTCCATTCCTAAACTGAATTTTTGTAACCCATTATTTGTTGTTTTCGGCTGTTTTTACTAGCTTTCACAATCGAATAATTATAGATAAATCATTTAACACTTTCTCTCTTTATTCAAAAGCCTTCAAATTCTATTGAGATAATATTTAAGTTATTTTTAGCAGACATTTTATTGCGAGAGCTTACAATGCTGCTTTTGGGCGCTGAGGTAATTTCTAAAAGTACAAAATTATAAAAACGTGTCGTTTTTAATTATTTGAATGCCCAAGCAGGCGTCAAAATAAAGCATGCAATTGGAAGTGATATTACAGAAGACCTTAAAAAGGGGCAAATAGGTTTCCAAAAAAAAAAGGAAAAACTTAAAGGAAAACAAAAAAAAAACTTTGCTCAAAGTCACGAAATGAAAAATAAACGGTAAATATACAATATTTATACCCACAGGGGAAAGCGACGAAGCGCAAGCAGTTGACTTTTGATGGTCACTGTGTGCCAGAAATTGACCGAGCCACATATATATATATATATATATATGTATATACAAAACCTAGTATATGTTACAAAAATATGTATGTATTTGTATTTCTGATTGCATTTGTATTTGTATTTCTGTATATATGCGGTCCACTCAATGTGTCCAGTCACGTTTTCATCAACAACATTTTGGCTAAGTTTTTGGTTAATATTATTTGTTTGTTGTTGCTCTTGTGCGAATTTCTTGCTATTTATTTATTTTGCCCGCTTCGTTCGTTTCGCAAGTGCCAAAAGGCAAATATTGCGCATACGCCGCGTATGTGGCCTTCGTTGAAATCAATAAGCAGCTGCCTCTAAAATATATACAAATCGCCTCCACAGTCCAGCTTGTGCTGGACAAACAAGCAGCAGCAAGAAATCGCAAAATATTTTCAAGCATACTTTTAGGAAATTGACCTCATCGCCACCGCTTCTCTATGAAATAAAACCAATAAAACTGCCTTCAATTCTACCCATCAATGATTATGTTTGCTTTCGTTTGCTTCTGACCCAAAAAACACACAAACAAAACATAACAAAATAAAGTTACATCCTGGGAAAATTATATTGCTAAATTCTTTCAAAGTTTTCTTCACAGCAGCTAATCGAATAGAGTATATAATTCAGTTTTCAGTTTTCCCCTTCCATTTTAAGCTTGCAATTTCATTTAAAATTGTACAAATTATCAACACGGCATGAGTTTCTGTAATCAAATCCATCAGATTAGAGAACAGGCAACATTTCAATAAATAATTGAAATGTGAAATTATATTTTAAATCCATTGAAGTCGCATCAATTGCAATTGAAGCACGTGTGAAATTTGATTTTGACAGCTGTTAGGGAACAACTTGAGAGCTCTTTCTAGATTGCTGGCTGTGGATGAATATCTTCACAAATTCAAATAAAATATAATCATCATGTGGCATGTAGCAGGCAGATTGAAGGCACGTATCGATGTCAATCGAAGGTACATCCTATTGAATCAATATACGCGTTAATAGGTTGTTGACGAAAAGCGGCTTATATTACAGCGTCTTCATAGATTGACAAATATATAAATCAAACGAATATACCAAAGCATAAATTGATAATCACGCCAAAATAAACTTTCTATAAATCATGAGCAAAACTTTAAATTGATAACATAACGAATAAATATTTATCATATTTACATGTTGTCAATAATAAAAAAAAGTTCGGTATAAACAATATTCGATAACTGAAAATCGATAATTTAAAAAAATTGAAACATTTTGGATTAAATTTCCAATTAAAAAAATAGCAAACTTAAAGTTCTTATGCCTTCGGGCCTCGTTTTAACGTCTACGTATTTTGCTCATTTTCTCTTATTTTCCAATTTTGTTTTTTTTTGCAGCACCAATGCATAATGTTCAATCATTGAAATTTAATACCAAAGTTGTTAAACACAAAGGCCAGCAAATCAGAGAAAAGCATTAAGTGTAAAGCAGTGCAAAGGAAATGAAATTGTAAACAACAAAAGCACGAGAAAAAAACACAAAAAAAAGCCAAATAAAAGAGAAAATACAAAAAAAATCTATCAAACAAACCATAAAAATCAACTAAATGCCAAAGCGACGCAATAACAGAACTAAAATCTGACAACGAGAACAACGGCAACTGACAAAACGAACGAACCGAACAGACCAAAAGGACCCCATCCAATACACGCACGCTCCCCAATTGAATGTGTGTGAGTGAGCCAAGGCTAAGACAAAGACAAGTGCAAAGAACAACAACAAGCTTGGCAACATTATCTACGACGAGCTGGCAACATTTACAACACTGGCAACATGCTGCTGAGGCGCTTACAACACAGCGGCAGCAACAGCCCCGCCAGAGCGCCATCGCCCTCAAGTTCCCAAAAGCTAATCGGATTTACGAGACAACCTACAACAACAACAACAAGAACAACAACAACAACAACGTGGCTTTGGCCGCTGCTCTGCCTGACAGTTGTTGCTCATGTCAGCGCCCAAATAGGTAAGTGCCGTCCCACCTATATTATCTGGTATAATTATATCTATAAAAATTAAAAATATAATATTAATAACAATAAAAGGCATAGCTGCCATTTGCGTAGGTTGGGTTGGAAGCTGTGCTTCGCTAGATTACGAAGATTCTACCCACAGGCGAAACTCATTAAAAAACGAAATATCATTAGCATAATTATGCACATTTACAGTGCTTATACACACACATCGCATTCAATTGATAAATGCAATTGAATTTGCGGTTTTTGAAAACTATCGAGCAATCAAATTTAATTACGCATTTTACAAATTATCATTATAAACTGAATAGAAATTATTTGAAATGCGCCTAACGCTGGGCGCGTTTTAAGCCTCATTATTACCAATATTATTGCGTTGAATTTGGGCTTGGTGGCGAAATAAATATGTGTTTCGTGTGTCCTTGTAGACCTTATTAGATTCAATCTAAATATTTATAGCATGAACAGATAATCAGCCAAAATACTAAACCCTTTAAAAAAACGAAAGCTAGACCAATACACCTGTAGTTTGGGATATATACTTGTGGGATATATACCTGCGTCCAAAACATCACTATATCCTAATTAATTAATGCGGCTATTGGGCTTTAAAGGAGTAAAATTCGCTCCTGCTTCAACCGACTGCAACGTTCTTACTTGGTTTTCCTCACGCTATCTAGAATATATGATACATACATCGTTACAGAATACATGAGAGAGATCAAAGTAAGCCCCACCAAAATGAAAGAAAGTGCACATTATTGAGACTTATTTTTTCATATCGCCCAAAAGATATACAAAAAAAAATTTGACTTTAACCATGCACGCTTTGCCGACATTGCGAATTTCAGAGTCAGGCCCCTAGCTGAAAGAAAAAAGAGAATGGAAAAACACACAACAAGCTCATCAAGAGCAACAAAAAAATGTTGTTAGACCAGGGAAAAGGGCAAGAGCAGAAGTAGAAAGGGATATGAAAACGAACGAGACGAACAGGAAGCAAAACATGCAAAAGCTATGCAATTTTTTTGCGCCTCTCTTAAAAGCAACAAATTGTGGAAAATGAGGTGGGAAGATGCGCAGTGGACGGTGGGGAGGGGGGTTAAGTCACAGGCAGGCAGCGCCAAGGCTGAGCTCCTACAAATGCTAATGAACAGCATTTGTGGAAAGGAGGCGCACAACTAAATGAAAATCTACAGCGGTAGACAACACTTTTTTCTTAGTCTCCTTTTTGCACACTAAATTTAGACGCTGCCTGAGCTAAATTAATAATAATAACTAAAAAAAAAGATGTTGAGCGCAAGCGCATAATTAATTAATTAATTAGCCAGACGGTGTTACCATAAATCTAAGCGAACTAGAAGAAAATCTGTTAACAGATGCGCCGTACTTTAAATGCGCCTTGCCATTTGAAGTTTACCCTGTAACTAACATGCTGAAAGGGTATCCTATTTGGCTGAATATGTGTTCAATTAGAAATAGAAGCGTTTTTATCTCAGTCACGGGGCAACGCCTCGTCGTGCTTTGTACTGGTTTCTGACTGGTTTTTATAGACTTTTGCTACATGCAAAATGGAATGTTTCAATGCGGCTCGTTACGTTTTCATAGCCGCATAAATTTTGGGTGGATTCAGACAAAGACCCCTCATTTGTGTTACCAAAAACAGTCGCTCGAACATTTGTAACTTTGTTGTGCGAATCCCGACGTCACCCACCCCTCAATCGACATAATTAAAACAGCGGCAGCAGCTGTAGGACAACAAAACAAAGGCAACAAACTGCACTAACTGCGTTTTGTTCATTAGCGATCCACACACACACACACTCTCACACACACATGCGCACACTCATAAAAGGAGAGTGCATAGAATTCATATTCTATTCGCATATGCAACATGTAAATGCATAATTAATGCAGCTGAGGGTTTGAAGGCTCTGCGCATAAAGTGTTCCTGGATAGGGCAATGAATATGTCAGAGTGCAATAAGCGACAAATGTCGCCATTAAATGCTGCAGAATGGAACGAATTGAATGGTTACATAACATGCTTTGCAACACTTAAACTTGAAACAAAGCTGACAGCTATGAAAGCGGAAAGTCAAATACATGAGATTGACACATTTTTTAACACTGTCGAAACGTATTCGAAGCTTAATTATATTTTTCCAATTAAATATTTCGATGAATAAGAACCTTACCAAGTTTTGTAACTCTTGAAAAGTTCTCAAACTTTTAAACTAAAAACTTAAAAAAAAAACGACAGCTGGAAAAATGTGTTTTAACAAGAAAAAATTCACACGACAAAATTCATTTGAAAAGAGCTTAGAATATGGCGAAAGAAAATAAGCAAGAAAATCACTGACCCTTGAAAATAAATAATAATTACCAGTCAGGGTTAGGCGGGGGGTGGGACGTAACAAAACGAAAAGTGCCTCAAAGAGTTAACAAAAGGGGAGAACAAAAACCAACTGAGAAAAAAAATCACACCAATAATTATAACAAAAAAAGTTGTTAAGCGTTAATGTGGCGACGGCTGCAGAAGAGATGTGAGACTGAAACAGCGCGAGAGAGAGAGAGAGAGAGACAGAGAGAGAGAGAGAGAGAGAGAGACAGAGAGAGAGAGAGAGAGAGAGGGAGCATGATGGGGAGCCACGCGAGCTGACGCTGAGCAATGGGCAATGTGGAACAAACTTATTAAAAATATTGAAGAATGAGGCAAGCGAGAGAACATGTGGGGCCAGAGGGGGTAGAATGAGATGGGCGGGCGCAATTGAAATGAAATGTGACACGCAAGGCAACAATAAAAACAAACTACAAATGCAAAGAGGTGTGCATGTGTGTGAGAAAGTGAAGGTGGCAGCTATAAAGTAAGAAGTTGTTTTTTTTTTTATATTTTTTTCGTTGATTTAATTAAATTAAAATTGCGGCCAGCTCGTAGTTATTTTTGTTGCTGTTGCTCGTTTGTTAACTGTGGCTATCCACTTCTTGGCTTAAATATGCATTTCCGCGCCGGGCTTACTTTTTTTTTGTTTGAGCGTGCGAGAAATTGTGCATGGGAAATGCATTTGCGGAATGTTTCCGGCTCTTCCCAGCGACTAGCTATGCAGTTTTTCCCAGCTTTGTTCTTTGCCTGCCCGAGACTAGACAATGTCTTGTCTCTACTCTCGGTGGCCACCCACCCACTTGGCGCAATGCTTCGCTGCATGGGAAGCCAAATGACGATCAACATGAACAACAACAACAACAACAACAACACCCACGACAACGACGAGAATTTCTCAAAGTTGGCTTATTCGCATGTCTCATGACTCAGAGCAAAGGCACAACTCCGACTGCAGATGCCTTATGCTTTATGACGCAAACTTTTCATTAAACATTTTTATAGCAACAAAGCAAAAGAAAAAAATAAAATAAAATGCTGAAAAAGTCCTGAAAAAAATGCGCACAACATTCAAACGTATTCTAAGCGCATAAACTGGGCATAAAGAAGTTGTTCGCAGCAGGGCGTGGGAAAAAAGGGGCGCGAATTCTTCACACGTTTAGCATAAAGGAAAATTTTATGTAGAAACTTTTGGTGCCGTTTTTAATGAAAATTTTTTGAGTATTCTGATTTTGTCACGCATTGCAAAAAAAATTGTAAAGTGAATATTTAATCTGGAAATGGCCCCCAAAGAATCAATTTATAAATCGTACTTCGAGCATATCACATAATGTGCCAGCAAGGGTATTTCAGCTTCGGTCATTTTTTTGTTTATTTAATTTTCGTTTTTTTACACCAACTTTTATATATGCATTTTTATGATTTTCATTAGAGTTTTTTGCATTTCTCGTAGTTTATGCTCCGCACGCGCTATTTAACTTTAGAGTTTCTGGAAATTTATGACATCTGTTCCATGTTTCATGTACAATACGAGCAGATAATGCTTTTATGCTGCGACACTTGCGGTTGAATTTTTCGTTCGTTTTTCAGTCTTTACTCGCTCAATTGACACTATCAATGGCTGTATAGAAAATAAGCCAGAAAAACGCTTTCAAAATGCTCTAAAAATAATAGACTTGCAACATTGTGCTATTGCATTTCGTGTATTTAACAATTTACAAGCAAACAAACATGCAAAAATATTTGTGAAATAAATGTTGTTCAGTCTGCTGTTCGGCTAGCATTATATCATTACGCTATTTTTATAGACCCTCCTCTAAAAGCGTGACGTGAGGCAGTCGTTTTCAGCTCCTAAAAGCTTTTTGAATTTACTGCAACATTTTAGTTTTATTATTTGCTTATTGCAATTTGTTTTTTACAGTTAAAATGCATAGCTTATGAAAATGGATTTTCTCAAATTGTCTGGCCTGCAGCTGAATATTTAATTTAGATTACATTTTTGTGTATTTCTCTCTCTTGTTAAAGTGTCAGATCTAATCAATCAATAGATTATGGGGAAACAAATACAGGCACACAGTCTCAATAAGTAAATAGATATTTACTAAAGAGTGTTGGAACATACACTGGGAAATTAACATTTTTGCTATTGTCTTTAATATTTAATACCAAATTCTTTAAATTTAAATTATGTTCCCAATTCACCGTTTAATTACCCCACGCACATTTAAACGAAGTAGAGTATGGAGAAAATACACACAGATAGATATTTACTAGAGAGTGTTGGAAAATGCGCTGGGAATTTAATATGTATGCCATTGTCTAAATTATTTAATACCAAATTCTTTAAATTTAAATTATATTTGCTATTCTTTAATCACCCCACGCACATATTTCACGACAATGGAATATGGATAGGATGAAAATACACACAGACACACGCTGGCAGCTTCACATGTTTGGCTGACTAATTTCGAACACCTGTTTCTCATCCAATTTCGCAGACGCTTAAAATCGAAATCCGAATCAGAGTCAGCCGGGCGTCACGATTGCAAAACGTACCAAAATATCTGCGAAACATACAGCACACAATTCGCGACATATCGTCAAGAGTATC